AAGAGTGAAGGTGAGAATCTATATTCAAGAAATTCATTATTTGTTAGCCACCAACTATAAATTTAAGTTGGAATAAAAAAGCCATTAGTCATAATGTGTCAAATTACTTCTATATCCAGTGGATCTTTAAGTCGGTTGAGGAACCAGATTAGTGAGAAGACTTGGTAAGAATAAAATAAAATGCTTGGTTTAAGAGACAGCACACGGTATTTGATCCCTGGAACATTGAATAGTTACTATCTACTATATACTGTGCTGCTTTAAATATACAATTGCATTTCGTAGTCTGATGTTTGCTTGAACATTATTTTACATTCAATGATCGTGGATTCAGAGGATGACCAGCTTGTCAAAAAATTTATAGTATCTAATTCATTCCCTCTTGTTAAAAGGGAGGACTAAAAATAAACAGAATTTATTTATTAAAAACTTATATGTTTATTTATATAAATTACAGGTTGGAACTTCAGTCACCTTTAAAGTACTCTTCATCTGATGCAATACATCTGTTGAGACTTTTCCCCACTGTTCAAAACAGGTTTTGAACTTGCTGATTTTGGTGCCTTTTAGTGCTTCTGCCAATTTTTGGTCCCCTTGGGGGACTTTTTTCACTGGGAGGAAAAATATAGTCACTTAGGGCAACATCAGGTGAATAAGAAGGATGGGGCATGGGTGTCATGGCATTTTTGGTAAAAAACTGCTGAACACTCAGCACCATGTGGGCAGGTGCATTCATCTCATATGTCACCCATCGTAAATGGGCAAATGTGCTGAGTCTTCAAAAAAAAAGTCTCTGATGCCAGGTGCAGCCTCTCACAATAACACCAGCTGGTACACTGATACAGATGGGTTCCTAGAACACTCACCTAGTGGGGAAGCCTTTATTATGAAGGCCCACCCTCCAGAAGATAATTCTGGGTTTTTCTGGGTACCCCTCAATTATGAGGACTTTAAATCCTGGAGAAGACTCTCAAGGTTCAACAACAAGTCAGTGACAAAAGTCTAAGCTGAAAGCTGAGAGCCATTATCATTATACTGGGTTAAGAAAGCCAGTTCATTGCCAGATCATGCTCATTTATTTCTTGACATAGCATTAAAACTCTGATCCCGGCACCTCTGAAATGATTTCCAGCCTGAAGTGCAATGAAGAACTGAAAGGAAGCTGCTAACAGGTTTCTTGGTGATGGGGAAACAAAATCCAATCAGTACAAAAAGTGTTAAAACCTAGCTTGTAACAATAACATGTAAAACAGCTTCCATACTTTTAAACCTCAGTGTCTACTGTCTGAGCTCCTCAAGGCCACTGTACCTTACATGTGAGCTTGTCGAATGGCTGGGCACTGCCATTAAAACTCTTGCTATTGGAACGCAATTGATTAGCATGTCTAGGCTCAGCTCCGGCTGTGACAGAGGCATGGGCACAGCCCTGCAGGAGAGTGGTCTCATGAGGACATTGTCAGGTGCTAATTGAAGAGCTGTCACCACTGCTTATGGCCTGGCCTGGTGGTCTGTGTGCACGGATCCCACCCAGCGAGCCACACACGGGTGAGATGAGGTGGCCTCACCTTCAGACACATCTACTGAAAGCAGGTGTCATGTACAGGTGACTCCCTGCCACCAAGACAGCAGAAATGTCATGTCTGGAATGCAGACTTTTAAATCCTCAGTGATACTTTCTATAGTATACAGGGTGTGGCAGAAGTAACGCCTGCTTGGGTGTGGGAGGTAGGGCAATATTGTGGGTGTAATAATATAGTTTTAATTCAAACATTTCACCTAAAATGTCATAGGGTGAGCCTGAGTATGATATTGTTATGTCACAGAATTACGTACTTATAATTTTACAATAAATATTCTGTAATGAAAACAAGAGGTGTTATTTGTGCCAAACCCTGGATAATAAGACCAGAGACTCCTAGGACTCTAAAACACACTATTTTTTCTTTTCCCAATTTTATCATAAAAATGTTTAAACATGCCATTTTTCCTTTTCCAAATTTTGTCATGAAAATTTTCAAACACAGAGACAAGTTGAAGAATAACACATTGAACACCTACATATCCGCAGTGAGATTCAACAACGATTAATATTTTACATACTACTTTCTATATCTTCATTATGTTTTAACACCTGAAAATGTCTCTGAAGTAAAACCCTCCGAGCAGCTTACTCAGATCCTCTGAATGACCTCCCCTCCCACCGCCTACTCCCATCAATCTTCGTGGATCTCAACAGGAGGGAAGTTTAAGCCTTTTGCTTTGCCGTGAACTCATTCATTCATTCCCGACATTCATCTCAGAGACCTTGTTCTACCTAATGTCATGGTCAGTGCTTTGATATTTAAAGCCTTTCCTACCTCAGCCTTCTATGTCTAGGCCTTCACACGTGCCTTTCAACTCAGACTGATGAACTTGGTTACTACCAAGTTCTCGACAGTGATCTTGCTGGTGCCCCAGAGTTCCATGCAGCAAACATTATCCCTTAGTAAACTGGGACAGATGTGAGCCTGAGACCTAACGCTGCATCTCCCATAGAAGACTCCCATCGTTCTTTAGGGCCTTACTTTATCACTCAAGAACGAACTCTGTATCTATGGATCCAATGAGAGCTGTTTCCAACTACCTTTTTTTTATCTCCTTTTTCCTTCCCTCTCTGAGCACTTAGGGGATTTCTACTACTTTATTCCCATCTTGCTGGTATCTTTGCATTCAAAAACAATGCTTTCCTGTGTGTAACTCTGAAACTTTGGACACAAGTTCCTCAGTTCTTCATGTGAAGTGGATAAAATAACAGTGCCCACTCTGTAGAGTTAAAGTTGATATTAAATAAGATAATATAAGTTCCAGCACAGTAACAAGTACATGCTAAGCCCTTTAATAGGTATTAGCTACCGATATTAATACTATTACTATTTTGAGTGTTGTTTCAATGCAGCCATTGAACCAGTTGTTTGAAATGGGCACATAGAAGGCTGAGCACAGACATAAGGTCAATTTCTGACCAGACAACCAGCAACAGTGAGTGGCTGTGGGGGGAGGTGGGTGAATAGGAAGAGGGGCCAAGTAGAGCCAAATCGACCATGGCGATTTCAACTGGATTCCTTTCACATACCACAAATGAATCTCCTGGAGTTGTAAAGAAATATGTGGTCTGCATTAAATATTCAGCCATGAAACAAACTGTTCTCTTCATCAGTAAAAACTAGAATGAGAACTTTATAAATATCCCGAAAAACCTAATCAATGTCAAATTCAGAATGAACAATACAACTGATAAAACCATCACAATTCAGAGCCTTCTCTGTCCCGAAGGTTCAATTCTGTGAAGGTCAGGTGTGTTCAGGAACCTGCATATTTTGTGAACAGCCCGTGTTGGAAGTGAGGATGGAAGAGTGACGATCTCCCACGTTGCGAGTTTGGGTTACAGCTATTACGTCCCGTGCATCTTAACGTATTGGCTTAACAATATAAATAATACATATGTATCATCTATATAAGCCCTCTCTTTTCCTTCTCAGTTCCAAAGACACCGTGACCATTGATTTCCCATCCATTCAACTTTGCAACTGTGCGTTCAGAATTTATTGACAACCTTTACTGAGTTTATTTACAGTGTAGGTAAAAACTAAAATGGGACATTTATAAATTTTCAATTCATCCCTTCACCTTCAGCGGCTCACCCAGGACACAAACACGCTGCTCTCTCTCCTTCCCTGCTTCCCTTGACAGTCAAAGGTCATTCTCTCTACAAATATGACAAACAGAGAAACTGGCTTATAAGGACCTGAGACAATGTACCCATCGAGCACGCTGAATACAGTAGATAATAATGTAAGTGAGACATTCTAGAGAAGAAAAGTGTTTGCGTGAGAGCAGCCCAGTGTATCGGTTAAGGGCGCTGGCTCTGAACTCGGAAGTGTTCAAATTTCACCCTAACAGCTTTGCTTTCTTTGGGTTCCCAGGCAAGTGGCATCTGCCTCAGTTTTTTCATTTGAAAATAAAGATGAAAACAGCATCTCACTTCTGAAGTTGTTGCAAGGATTAACTACAAGGTGGGGGAAAAGCAGGTTTACAGTTGTGAGTTCACGAAACAATTTATTCTTGGTATCACTATTTATTAATTACTGTATTATTTTCCATACGAACAACATAAATCTACTTTTGCCCCACCCTGTATATTAATGTATGAAAAGCATTTAGTTGCCCTCTAACAAGTGCTCACTAAATAATACTATTTTTATAATCATCATTATTATGGTAAAGTGACTATATATTTCTGTGAAACTGAACAGATCAGAGGCGATCAAACATTTTGGAATTTAGAGTTTCTTCTCCTATAATGCAGAGGAATCCTTTATATTGTTTTCAGATATCTTTTTTCCTCATCTTTTAAAGACACTATTTCTTCAAATACAAAACGAACTTTAAAAAAAGGAACTTCTTATCGTACAATTTTCCTTCACCCAAACAGCAGAGTCTCACCATTCTTCTCTGACATGAAGGCACGCACAGCAGTACAGACTCACTCGCAATCAATCTGAGATCATTATGAGAGTCTGACTGCTCTGCGGAGGGCGGAGGCCCAGGCAGCCTCCTGTCGTCAGGGGACCAGCCCGGGCTCACACAGCTGAGGAGCGACTGATGAAACAGCACATCTGCCACATTCAAACACGCACTGGGCATTCACCACTTTTTTTCCATTCTAAGGGAACCTTATGCGTCAGCTATTTTGGTATTGTTCATCTCTCCTCCTTCCAGAAAGCAGCTTTAGGATCAGCAGCTGACAGAATTCGGGAAAAAGCCCGAGTCTCAGCTGGGGCTGAGTTCCTTTGTGAGCTCGCTCCTCTGAGCTATCAGCTGTCTGCAAGGCCTGGAGGCCTAGCTGCTCATCCGCACACCTGTAGGAGGAGGGGGGCAGCAGCACAACAGGTTCCCCTCCGGTAAAAAGCAGTGACTGCTTTGTTCAGGCAAAGTTCAAGTTTGAAATGGACACGACAGACCTGAGGCCATAGAGGACTGTGCCATCGGGATGCAGCCGGATCATCCGGTTCTTGACGGTCACTCCGTGCACAAACGACTTCTTGTCATTCAGGAAGTAGGTGTCGGGCACCCAGAGCTGGTCTGCTACTCTGTTGTCCAGAGTCAAGTTTAAGGGTATCACATTATATGACAGCCTCTTATCTCTCCAGGCTTGTTGAAAATACATTGTCAACGTGTAATCCTACGAAAGTGAGAAGAAACAGTGGTTACTTGGTACCCAAACATTTATATATTCACAAGAAAAGAAAATATATGCAGCCATGCACTATACACGCACAGATACTATTCACATACAGGCAAGTGTTGATTTATGAAACCCATTCTTACTGAGCACCTGCGGTATGTTAGGTGCCCTGCTAGGGTCTGTAAATAGGGAAGTGAAGAGAGTACATCCTCATAAAATTTACTGTATGTCATCCAGGAAGAAAAATGGGAAGAGAGAATTACCGTAGAATGAATTTGTCTTTCCCAATGTGGGGTACTCGGGGTTGTTTTCGGTGAGACAATACAACTGTAAAAAGCAGTTACTTTCTTACAGTAGTATTTGTAAGTTTGTCAATGAAAATCCTCTCTGGTCTCATGAAGGTGAGTCTCCCAGGGGAGTTAACATTTTACTCTGAAGCTCAGGGAGCTTCCCAGATAAAAACCACGTGATCTCAATCAGTGTTTCGTGAGAAGTTTAATCCCAGGGTTAGGAAGCAGCAGACTGTGCTCTGTGCTTCTGAGAAACCATGAGCTGCTGTAAGAGGGGCACCGGCCTTGCAATGCCGAGGCCAGTCTTTTCAATTTGTATAAATTTACACCGTGTCTAGGATGTACATTTACGCAATTTCTTTTCACTTCAGGTCCATTACCTATACAAATGGGGCTTTTAATACATGCCTGATCTAACCAGAAGACTATTATGACAATTAAATGTATAATTCAAATGCAATTTGTAAACTACAAAAGCTATATATTATGAAGAAAGCATTTGCATATATATTGTGACATGTTTTATCCATTAAAAGCCTATGGGTCCAACGGAATTGCTCTCTCACCCTTATTTGGATGACTTAAATGGAGGGGCCAGATAGTCATTTGAAAGGATAATTATCGTTCTATTTTAAAATCAGTTCCTAATGCCCTACTTGAGGGCTTGAAAAAGAACCTAGAATAATGTATTAGTCATCTCTGCAACCTGAGAGTGCAGTGTCGTCCTGGGAAAGAAACAGTGAATGGATGAGTGGATGTCCACTAGAGTGTGCCTGTCACCCTCCTGCACACAGCTGCACATTTTGTGGACAAAATATACACTTCAATGGCCAGGAAGTCCCCGAGTTTTTCCAACTCTTGTTGAGATTTACACATCTTCATTTGGTTGTATAACTTTTAAACATGGCTTGTAGTATGTCTGGTTAAATGCAGGGAACAGTTCCTATAGGAAAGGCATAATCCCTCTGCCGCAAATAGTTTTAATGTTTTCCCCAGTTTCACAAATACACAAATTTTGACCTCATTCCGAATCCTGCCCTACCCTACTGCCGAATGAGCAGTTGGAGACGCAAACTTCTGTGCTAACAAAAGGCATGTGAAGATCCTTAAGGTGGATCGAGGAACTGTAGGTAAAATTTACTTCAGTGGGTCACTTTACTCAGTGCTCAGGACTCCTCTGCAAAGCTGCTTTCATAAAGAATGAGGCTGAGGAGCTCTAGAGGGTCATCTTGATTCATAATAAAGCATCTTTGAAGACTTATGAAATATAAAACTAGAAACCAGAAAAGAAACCAGATATATTTTTTGCATGTGTCTTTGTTACAAGTGGCTCGAAAAGTAGAATAAAAATAAAATCAGCAATTTATATGGTGCTCGAGAGAACACATTTATTGATCTCCAATTCTTGAAGCTAAAAATGGAAAATTTGCTTATGTGTTTTAGAAGCTAGTGCTACTTAACTTCTCTGATAATAAGCTGTCTTAAGATGTAGGGGTCATACTATTGTTTGGATGCCACTGGAGTTTATCTGTCAGCTGTGTTTATACACAGGAAATTGTATTCTCTTTGGGGCTAAATAAACAGTGATATTGTGAGATCCTGTGTTACTTGCTAACTCCTGTTATTTGTCAGAAATGCAATGCCTGCTAAGAAATGCTACCAGACAAACCCTGGTGACTCTGTTCACTGTCACATCAATTTTCATTTCATGTTTTTAAGTGACACATCAGGGCAATGTCAAAAATGGAAGAAACTCCTGAATCTAAATGAATGTTATTGGACTTAAAAAGAGTAGTTGTGTGTTTTACTCTTTTTCCTAGGCCTGCATCTACCCAAGATAAATCCTTTGAATTTACATGTATGAAGCCCATCTTTCACATTTAATGACCCCACACTATGAAAAGCATTCTCACAGTTGGTTTACTCAAAGTGAAACAGCACATATAAACCACTTCTGGATGCCCCACCATCCATGGCATCGCCCAGCGAGGTGGACCGAGACCGTCACCATCAGAACTGATGGACTTGGACTCAACAAGATGGGATGAATGCACTCCAGGCTGTCCCTCCCATGAATTACAACTAAGCATCCTGGAGAGAATTAAAAAAACAAGAACGATAACCACCTAAGGTCCATGCAAAGTAAAAAGTAGTAGCACACTGGGGAGGAAATGAAAATGTGAAGAAGGATCATTTCAGCAGTGAATTTCTTGTTTGTTTTATTTTTTCGCCCTCATGTAACTCTTTCAAGTGCCAGGCAGACACACTCGGAAAATACACACACCACACACACACAGCCAAAAGCATAAACAAATGGAGAGATACACTATGTTCCTGGTTTTAAAATTAAGTATTAAGATGTTGATTCTCCTGAAATTGGTCTATAAATAAAATTCCATCACCATCAACATCCAAGCAGAAAATTTTTGTAGCTATGCACACAAGCTGATTCCAAAAATTTGTATGGGAATCAACGGTATAGCAAAGCAATTTTAAAGAACAAAACTAGAGGATTCATGCTACCAGGTTTCAAAACACTGTTAAGCTATGCTAAGACAGGGCGGGGGTATGGCACTGGTAGAAAAATAGGTCAAGAAAACGGAAGAATCTAAATATAAACCCACACAAAGAAGCTCCATAATTTCCGACAGAGACACAAATGCAATACTGGAGGAAGCATAATCTTAAAAGCTAGTCAGGACCAATGGGAACATCTGTATTAAAATAAATGAGTAAACATATAAGTAAATAAATAAGAACTGCAACCCATACTTTACATCTTACATAAAAATTAACTCAAAATGAGTCACAGACCTAAATGTAAAATGTGGATCTATGAAATCTGGGAAGGAAACATGGGAGAAATTGTCGGTGGGTGACTATGGGTTAGGCAAAGATTCCTTTGACAGAAACTCAAAAGCACAAACAACAAAACAAAATACATAATTTGGCTCTCAACAAAATTTAAAGCTTTGGCTACATGAAAGACATTATTCAGAGAGGAAAAAAGACAAACCATGGACTAGGAGAAAATGTTCACAAGTCACGTCTCTGACACAAGAATTTATGTATTCAGAATACATAAATGTATAAGGAATTCTCAAAGCTCAGCAAACAATCCCATATAAATAGGCAAAAGATACGAACAGACAGTTACTAATTCAAGATGTACAGATGGCAAATAAGCACTTGAACTCATGGACCACATCATAGGTTATGGAAAATCAAATTAAAATCTAAAATGAGCTCTGGCTGGTGTAGCTCAGTGGATTGAGCATGGGCCTGCGAACCAAGGGATCATGGTTCGATATCCAGTCAGGGCACATGCCTGGGTTGCAGGCCAGTTCCCAGCAGGGGACGCACAAGAAGCAACCACACATTGATATTTCTCTCCCTCTCTCCTTCCCTCTAAAGATAAATAAATAAAATCTTTTTAAAAAATTTAAAAAAAAACAGAAATGAGGTTCTATGTGCCCCCATTAGAAAAGCTAAAATGTAGCTAAAAGCTACAATTCCAAGAGCTGGTAAAGATGCAGAACAATGGAAACTCTTACACACTGCAGAGAGAATACAAGGTATTAACCACCTGGAAAACAGTTGGACAGTTTCTTATAAAGTTAATACATATCCGACATGTGAGCTGGTGATCCTACTTCTGTGTGCAAATGTTTAGAGCAGCTCTCCGTTAACTGCCAATGCTGGAAGCGATATGGATGAATGTTCTTCAGCAGATGAAGAGATACACAAACTGGTATACCCATGACGCAGAAAACTACTCACCAATCACAAAGAACAATGTATGGATGCGTGCAACATCATCTGTGGTTTTCAAACCCAGAAAGTTAAGTAAGATAAGCCAGATTCAAAAGGCTTCATGCTATATGATTCCATTTGTATAACGTTCTATAGAAGGTCAAACTACATGCAGAAAGGACAGAAGAGTGGTTCCGGGGGATTTGAGATGGGGGAGGGGTTGACAAGGAGCTGGCCTGAGAAGAGAATTCTGGGTCATCACATTGCTCTGCCACCTAACTGCCGTGGTGGTTCATGACTTTAGGCTTTTGTCAAAACTTAGAGAACTGTATACGAAAGTGAGTGCATTTTTCTGTGTGTAAATAAACAAAATTTAAACCTCCTTTTAAAAATACACAGTCTCCAGGGTCAGACAAACCAGGTTCATATCCTAGTACTTTCAATCTGTCTGTTTTGACCTTGGCAGAACCCTCTTAACTCTATTTCAAACTCCCAACAAACAAACAAATAAAAACAGCTAAAGCTAACCAACGTATGAAATAGGGTAAACAATTGCATTGTTATTCAGTGAGAAAAAAAGAACGATGCTACAAAACAAGTCTCCCCCATTCTTACCAGGAGACACGCAGCCCATCGGCTTGGGCTGAGAGGACCACCATATTAGATGGTTACAGGCTCACAATCCTCCAGCTGTACAGTGAGGCAACTGGACTAGGTGGTTTGAAAATTAACTTCTAGGAATAAAATAATTTCATTCCAGTAAATGCTTTGTTGGCTTTGTGTTTAAGTGTATAACGTCATTTCAAAATCTTCCAAATGTCTACAGTGCCTTTTTCTGTAAACATGCCAATATTGTGCATACTTTCTGGTAAATTGTCGAAACCACGATTGTCTGTTAAATGGTACAAACACCCTTGCGAACACTTGGGAATACGTACAGAGGTCTCTAAACTG